ATGCAGCAATAACCAAAATAAAGACTTCTTCAGCTCCTCAAAATAGAAAAAGCAGACTGCTAATAATTAGATTTTTCTTTGGACTAGCCTAGCATCCAATACTTTTCATCCCAGAAGACTTAGAAGATTCTTTCTTTCAATTTAAGTCTGAAAGTTTCCACAGGCTTAGTTTCTTATTTGAGACCAAAGCACTCCTGGCATTCATTTACTTATATAAGAATTTCATCTTTGATTGGAAAGAGCAAAACAAAACATAGATGTGATGAAGATTTCAAGACATCTCTTTCAAATAAGGACTTTAATCCCACCAAGAGATAATTGTTCATGTACAAATACAGTGAGAGTTTTCCAGTGCCCTTCTGCAAGCTCAGGGCTCTGCTGAGTGTTGGGCTTTTAGGTCAGACTCAGGGTGTTTTAGGACATGATTGGTTTTACGACTTTTTTGGTTTAGAAAATTTGACTATTGCTGGAGTCTACACTTTTCAAAATGGACATTGTCAAATTGAAAGTTTCTTGGAAGAAATATGCAAGAATGATTCAGTCTTTGAAGTTTTCCTTATACTGAGGGATTGAAGAAAAAGTTTCTATCAAGATTCTACCAAGATTTCTATCTTGGTCTTAAAATACTTATGTAAGGAAATTATTTTTTCCTGGGAATAGATGGCAAGTTATACAACAGCAGAAGGAGATTTCAGCTCTGGAACCCAATCCTAGAGAAGATTATGCTGGGAAAATTGTGGATGTTTTTAATAGCAACATTGATATGCTGAATCCCTATTACTGGTGTCTTAGGCGTCAAGAATTAATGTCTTTTCAACCATTGCACATTAACAGCCGTGGGTAGAGCCACATGTAAGAATGACTGCATCTGAACAGCGTGCAGAAAAAACCTCTTATCTGGTTCTGAGTTAGACATGAGCAGTTTATGGGCAGATGTGGATTTCATGGATAGATAGCAGCAGTATCTGTGGCTGAAGATCAATGGAGGTGGTTTAAGGTATAGGCTGTATTTTCCAGCTGTTCATGACCATTTAGAAAATGCCACAAAATTACCCTTCAGAAATCTGTTTATGAAATATAAACCCTGCACAGAAACATAATATGTTCTGCCTTATCTAGTGCAAAGTAAGGCTTTCTACCACTTTTATTTTAGGCAGTGAAACACTGAAAACAAATATAGGAGAAGAAGCAGAACCCTCTGTGAGGTTTCAGCTTTGATAACCCACGTTACAGAATCCAGGTCTTTCACCATATAGTGAGACCTGATACACCTTCAACTGATTTTTCACTGGTTTTTAGACAAAAAAAAATAAAAATCAAGAAGTAAGGCCTTGACAACACAAACATGTGACTGAAAATATGTGTGTTATTAGCATGAGAGTGCTTTTGGTGAACCTGCTTTTAGTAGGCCTGCTCTGGTGTTTTACTGGCTCTCTGCTGCTGTAAACAAATTTGAAAGTAGGGGAAGATTTAGAAGTTAACTCATGAATGTGAATGCTCCAGAAAGGAAAAGCAGATGGATGGCTATTGACCCTGTTCTCCCTTATTAGACAGCAATTGATTTTTCAGTTGATAAAACTGCTTCATCCTATCTGATTCCCGTGGTGGAATTAGGCAGTCAATTATTGGGGGACCATGTTTCCAAATAACCCAAATAACACCCACAGGGCAAGTGTTTTCCAGCCATCCTTGAGCCTTGTCTGGTTTTCTCCATCTTGGATTCCTCTGCTGTGGTCTTAGGATCAGCCTTCCTCTTAAATTGCTCATCTGGGTGACATTGAAGGATGTTGGCATTTTTGTAGGCTCTGTGCAATTTTGAGGTAAATTGGAAGCCTGTGTCTTGGAGCCAAAACTGTATGAAGTGGATTTTCACCTCCAGAACAGCATTGCAACTGATTTCCACTATATAATGTGGTGCAATCACAGCATTATGCTTTGTCTGGAGTTGATTCTCCAGCTGTGGAAACAGTATCTTTTTCATTAAATTAAACCAAACTGTAGCCAGCATCAACATCAAGCTCCAAAAATGTAATGCTTAAGTATTTTAGGCCAGGTGCTGATCTCTGAAACACTGGTGTGAGCCTAGAGGAATTACAGTTTTACACTGATGTATGTGAGATCAACAAGCTTATTTTGGGCCAGGGATCTGCTTTCACAGGTGTGCCTTATTTTAAGATGCCATCAAAGTAACTTCTCCCCATCATTCCAAAGCTGTTGAAGATTAAAGATAAGCTTTACTGGTAAACAGAGAAACAATGAAAAAGATGTGGAACAAAGGTTTGCTTTCTGTCTCAGTTAAATGCTAGTTAAGGAAAAAAGCAGTTCTGGAATGCTTCCTCTTTATCACTCATAGCAAAATCAAAATAAGCTGGCTGAGTACAATGAAAAATGCTGTTTCTTAAACAGAAAAACTTTCATGCAAGTTTAATGATAAAAACTTAAAGAATTGTGTTATGTTCTTTTTTTTTTTTTTTTTTTTTTTGCGTGTAAATCTTCAGGTTTTATTAAAGACAACTGATGTAAGATTTGTTCCATTGCGATCCCTGTTAGCTTGCTTGGCTTTGCTGGAGAAATCCTTGGGAGAGTTGGTGAGAAACTGAGAAACTGTTGTTCTGATGTTTTTTTTTTCTTTTTTTTGTCACAGACAGTCAGCAAGTGCGGGGAGAGAAAGGGAATTAAACTGAAAAAAGTGTACATGAGCATGGGAGGAGTGGAGGGCTCTGGTTTACAATGCTGTACCTCAAAAATAGCTGGAGGGAATTTTCCAATAATTTCCACACACCATGCACAGTTCATCCCTGAACTGGGACCAAACATTCAAAGGATCATACCCCAAAGGAGAACTTGGTGGTGGGGGGGGCATTTAAATAAAAAGGAGGGTGATAATGGAAATCTGTCCATAAACAGAGCTTTTGCATCCTATGTTGAAGGACATATTGCCTTAAGAAGCATTTTTTCAGTGTGCAATAGCATTTAAAGTGAAGTAGCCAGGCAGCACTGTGCCTGCCTCGTGTCCTTTGTGTTTGCACCCAGCCCAGAGTTCCCACAGGCGTGGGCTTGGCACATTTGGAGCTGCACCAACCCAGTTGTGATTCCCAGGCTTGTGCTGGCTGCTGGAAGCATCCTGGGGAGGCACGTCTGAAGCATGATACAGCACCATGAAAAAATGTGTGTTTTACAGCCTTGGCTTGCATTCACCACTCAAGCTGCAGATTGCTGGCCAAGAGTCTGACCCCCTCCTTGCTGTCCAAGACCACGCTCAGGCACTGCAAGAGGCAACACTGGTGCTCCCAGTGATCATCACCTTCTGCAACAGGCATTTCAGGCTTTATTGCCAGTTTACCAAAGCTTGAAGAGAAGAGCATAAGTCCCAAGCACAAATTTTCTTAGCTGAGTGCTGAGCTAAGAAAAGTGTATTCATATATCCACAGTATGAAAATAAATGGATCCACTCCAGTTGGGGAGGCTTGGGAAAAAATAAAAATACCTTTCTATGTTCCTTATAGAGAAACAAAATCCCCCATTTTTCCTACTAGATTTTCATCAGTACAGTGACATAACATGGTTATGTATTTATGCATCATCTTTTCCATTTTTTGTCTTTTCAATGAAAACAAGCAAACAATGGATTCACTGAAACCATTAGTATTTGTAATTTAGTAACTCTTCCAGACAGGTCCCAGCATGTTCCAAGACAGCTCATATTTTGTCTTGATGATTTCTTTTACTTCTTAAATGGTGTGAATTTTATCTGTTTCATAACATGAAAAAAGAGGAACTCATGTCCCTCCTCATTTTTTTCCACCCCTAAATCTTTTCTTAACTTTTAATTTAGCAACATGATATGAAATACATTAGTCTTGAATCCCAAAGCAGAGGCTCTTGGCTTTTAGCATGAATTATGCATTGCAGGTTAATATGTAGAAATAGCAATATTAAAACCAAATTTCTTTCTGAGCCAAAATCCTTTAAGCAACAGAATGAATATAGTGGTCATAAAACAGTCCAGAATAATATGATATTAGAAATTCAAGCTGAAATAGCCCTTCCATGTACATTAAAAAATTTACTTGCTAAAATAAATTACTCCCTATGTCATCTTTATTCTGTTTTATTACCTTTCTAGTAATGCTGTAAGCAGATACCTTGGCTAACCTCATTCTTGTTTCACTGAGGTGCACATGCCAAGAAGACCTGGCTGACAGTAAATTCTGCACAGCAACTTACCCTCATTGATGGGAAGAGCTGACTGGCTAGTGATCTCAGTGACTCACAAATGTCAGTGCAAATGTCAATGTCTGGGCCCAGTGCTCTGCTTGCAATATTCTTTGTGGCATATTTTCATATATAGTCCCTCTTGCCTGGGGTAAACAAACACAACAGCACACTCTAGAAGCAATAGGAAACCCAGACTGAACATAAAACAAACTCTAATAGAAAGTAACATGTCAAGGTAGTATTTTTAAATCAAATATTTATTATGTATTTGTATTGTAGCATAGTTTAAAGGCCAGGGCTTCTTTGTGCAAACCATTATTCAGACTTTAAAAAGTGCCTAAGCTCCAAAGGTGGGTCTGTATCTACATTTACATTTACAGGTTTTTGTTTCGCTCATTTGACTTAAGAATATCAAAGCTTTACAGGAAATCTCATCCACCTTCTTTCTTTTCAGACCTGAAATGCTAAGAGCTCCAATTCAAATCTTCTCCTGTATATTTATTGCTTACTGAATGAGATACAGGAAAGGATCTCAGGCTGCAAAATTCTACCTTCAAAAGTGAGGAAATGCCAGATTAAATATGTAATAGCAATTCAATTCTCTTAGGTATTATAAACATTATGACATAAGGTGTAATTTTTCCTTTCCCCTGACAACCTTGCCTCATTCACTGCTGGCAAATGAATCAATAAGCCATGGCTAAATATTGCCTTTGACTGAGGTGGCTGTGTGTATGTCAAATGCCTCCTTCATTGTGTGCTAGCTAATGTCCTGGGTGAAAATTTGATGTTTTTCTTACGTTTCTGAGGTGCTTCTTGAACATTTCAAAGTTAGTTTTGTTTTGTTTTGTTTTATTTCCAGAGAATCCCTTTTTACATTGCAGGGGAAAAATGATACATGGACTGGAGCACTGCTCTTGCCAGATATGTAAGTAGTGGTTACTTTCGTCACAGGAATAGAGATATTGGGGAAACTGAGGTAGCTTTCCAGGATCTGAAGGAAAGAATACCCTCAGAGCAGATGCTTCTTTCTCTTCCATGAAGCTTCTTCACCAGTCTTCCTGAATCTCAGCTTTAACACAACTTGCTCTCTTTGTTTCCCCCATCTTCCTTCATCAGGCAAGTCATGATGGTACAAGCACTCTCAATTTTTAAATTTTCTTCTTTGAGCTCACCTGGATAAATCATACTCCTCACCACCCAATCTCTCTCTCTCCCATTGTCATGGCTGTAATTGACATCTGCAGGAAAAAAATGTGAGTGGAATTTTGACAGGAGGGCTCCAGTGCCTTGAGGGCTGCACCCAATTTTCTGTAGTGCCTTTAAAGCCAAGGTCTGGGCCTAAAAGAGTAATTTATTGGCATCCCAAACCACTCCAGGACAGGAGTGGCCTTCTTGCAGGTATTCGTTCCTCCTTGTAAAACTCCCACCTTTTCTGAGGAATGCCTGAGAACAAACTGTCAAAGAACAAGCTGTCAACACTCTTCAGGGTTGTAAAATAAATATTTCCTCGCCCTAAACCACTTTACAGAATTATATCAGAGCCTAGTCCAAGTTTTGAGAATACAAAAAAGACAGTTTTCTAGATTATTGCATAAGAGTTAGAGACTGATCATCTTTGTTTGAGAGTGTTTTAGTGTGTGGTGGTCTGCAGGTGCTGCTGTAAGATACTTATTTGCCAATGCCATTTCACAATTAGAAATACCAACGAGGCAGGATTTATAATAGAGGAACAGCAGTGGGAAATCTGCTAGGAAGACTGTCCACCTGGGCATGTTGTAGCTCTAGCTGCAGTTCACCACTAACATGTCTTTTATAACTAGAAAAACCTTGACACAATCAAGTTACAGATGAAAATAATGCTGCATTTAGAGCTGCAGTTGCACCAAAGTTTTCAGCATTACCTGTATCTTCTGCAGGACAGGCTGGCTCAAGAGTGCTTTGTAATCCATGTAAGAGAGGAGGTATCAAAATGAGCATTTAAAGAAACACAAATCTTGTGGAGTCACCCAGATCTTCATGCAAGTTCTTGTAAAAGGAGTGTGAGGAGCAAGTGGCACATCAATCAACAGTGTGCTGTGGTTGCCCTGAGGTGTCTCTTCTGCATCTCAGGGTCCCCTGGGTGCCCCTTGGTGACTCTAAGCAACATTGTGGGCTGGTCAGAGAAGCAAGAGAGCTCACACTGGGTCACAGGTGTTCAAACAGATTCATTCACATTCTCTCAGTACATTCACACATTTGGAAAGGTGTTTGAGAAATATCACTGAAGTGTCCGCTCTGCTCTGGCTAGAGGTTTGTTACTGCAGAAAGAGTGCATTTTTAGAAAGAGGTGGCTGACCCAAGAGACCCAGAACACTGAAATAATGTAATAGCCAGATTGTATTTGATTACTATTGCTAAAGATGAAAGTATTGTGAACTGAGCTTCTTGGATTCACTTATATGCCATGCTAAAAACATTTGAAACCATTGCACCTGCGATGTAGGTGTTTATGTGAAAATCCAAGACTCTACAGCTCCCTCGGCTGCAGCGTGCTCTCCTTTTCCAGGCCACTGCACAGGACCAACATCACCCTGCTGTCCCACACCAACAAGGCAAGAATAGATTCCTGTGGGAACCCAGGAAATTCCTCTGACTGCCCTGGAGGACATGAGACCCTGTCAGGGGGCTCGGAGACCTTGGCACAGAGCCCAAGGCCTCTGTGCCTTTGATTTTGCCCTTGGAAAAAACAATTACCAACCTTGTATGAAGAATTACAAGCCATTAAAGTTTAAGTAGAACGATAGTGAATTTATCACAGAGTGGAAAAATAGATTTTTTCGGGTTTTTAGCATGGGGGTTCAGGGGGTAAGACGGAGGAATCTGGGCATGTCCAGCCTCTCTCCTTCTTCTTCTTAGCCTCCATCTTCTGCTGTGATGTTGGCACTTTTAGATTGGTTTAGAGTAGAAGCTCACTGTCTAACATAGGTGATAGGTATTGGAAGGTAATTGTAAATACAGTACACATAGTTTTTAATATAAAAAGATAACACCGCCCCGGGGGCAGGCAGAATGCCTCTGACCGTCTTGCTGAGCTGACCTCGGCTGGACAGGAGAAAGAATTTTACAGATAAGATACAATTAACAACCTTGAGACTGAGAAATTAAGAACTCTGTCTCCTTCTTCGACCGCTGGGCAGGGAAAAGACTTTCTAACGTTTCTCGGGGTCCCTCTGAGACCCCAGGAGATTCCCACAGAGGAGAGGCTTCAGAATTGTTTCACAGCCATCCTGTTCGCCAGCTCTGTGGCTGGTTTGCCGGGCCTGCGGAGCCTTCCCCGGCACATTCGGGGTGACAAGGGGTTCACCAGCTCTGTGGCTGGTTTGCCGGGCCTGCGGGGCTCTCCCCGGCACATTCGGGCGCCCCGCAGTGACCGGCCCTGCTGCTGCTCCGCAACCCTCGGCCTGTGACAGCAGAGGGCAGCAAGAGGCAGAGAAGATGGTTCCATAAACTGGGTCAAATTCCGTTCCCTGACATTTGCTCTCGGATCCAGGCTGCCTGCGGTTCCCGGGCTGCCTCCCCGGCCGGCGGGCAGCGGGCTGGGCTCGGCTCCGGGGCCGTCCCAGCGGGGGATGCTCTCCAGGATGCCTTGCTCCCCGGGCAAGGCGGGGACCTGGCCTCGCACGTGTGCGCATCACCAAGTGGGTTAGAAAGGGAATCGTGCTGATTTTGGAGACTTTGCCCAGTTACAAGAGCACCATATGGCATTTTATCGTGCTTGTGTTGAGAAGCTATAAAAATCTGAAATTAGCTATGCTTAGCTTTCACCACACAGCAAAATGTAGCACTTACTTTAACTGTGAATAAATAATTTCTTATATAATGATGAGAGCTGCTGGGCTGCATTCCTCTTCCCCTGTACTCTGGAAATCTCTAAAGAGAGGTGTATGATCTCTAAAGAGAGGTATACGCTGGAAAATGCTTTCTAATGAAGGACAAATCGAAAGGGTCATTGCTACTATCTGATTTTTAACAAATGCTATTTTTTCCACTGCAGGTTCATAGAAATACATCTTTTTTCCTTTCTTAGATAGCGTTTAGGTAAAAAAAAACCACCTCTGTCGTAATGCAAGTCTCCCATCACTCTTCTGCAAGTATGTACTCAAAGCGGGTGGTTTTGGTACAGAGTGCAAACCCAGCTGCAGGTATCTTCTCAGGTGGCAGCCAGGTTCCCTGGAGGTGAGAGTAGCTGCCCACAAATGTAGGAACTGAAACTGCTGCTATAGCTGGTCTTCATGCCTGCCTGTAAATCCCATGTTGGTTAACGTAAACACAGTGCCTATGACTTTAGACAGGTACAAATGAGCTCTGTGATCTGGAATGAGCAAGTGCAGTAGGTTGGTTCCTCTGCTTGCTTGACCCTGGCACAACAGCAAGAATATCCAGCTTTGCAGAATCCCAGAACAAGGCAGAGTTGGAAGGGACCCTCAGAGATCACCAAGCCCAACCCCTGGCCCTGCACAGTACCATTGCCAGCTTGTATGTTGTCTTCAGCAATGGTCTCATTAACTGGGAAGTGAGTGGCCTTAAGCTCTTCACATCATTAACCTTCTCTGAACAGATGATTTATTTCCACGATGAACAAACATTTTCAAAATTCAGCACAATTTGCATGTTAGATAAACTTCTTACATCAACAGAATAATGGTGGACATTTCCTCCTATACAGTGGAAAGCGCAGTTGAGCTCACAGCCCTCAAAAATCTCTGTTTCTCCAGTATAGGGACAGAGAAGCTAAAAAAAACATGGCAAGTGGTTTGGATGGATTGAGAACTGTGCATGAGGGGTAATAGGAGACAGAACGTAAAGAACAATCGGAAGGCACCTTCTATTTTAATAAAAATATGCTTCAAAAGGGGATAGCATTTAGATGTGGTTGTGGTTTTAATTTCTTTACAATATTGCAAACTGAGACAGAGCACTGTCATGTAAGCACATGTGTCAAGTGTCAGAGTGAAGATGTCTGGTTTAGTTTCACTGAAACTTCAAGAAGTTCACCCTAGTTCAGATTCTCATTAATCTACTCAACATTGTTCCCACTGAGCAACCATAAGTGTGCTGTAGTACCTGTTTCACTTTTTACATCTGCTGTCAGGAAGTGTGCACCTCTGCTGAGCACAGGGCCAAACCCTGGCGTTTCTTCCTTGCTGTCACTGGCTGGCAAAGTGATGAGAGCACTCCGCATGGCAGACCACATTTTGATGTTATACAGCAAATGAGACAGACCTCCAGATTCATGCAGATAAACTATTCTTATGTTCTTATGTAATATATTCCTAACACTATTTTTTTTTTTGCTTCTGTTTAGACATCTTCCATTTGGACCATTTTCCACATTAATTCCATATTCCAAAGTTAAATTAAATTGTCTGATAGAATTAATTGTATTCCATGCTGCTGTAATCTAAAAGCAATATAAAAGAGGGTTGGTTTTTGCCTAAATGAATTCTTTGTTTTTTTAATTCAAAAGGAGCCTGAAATTCAGGGCAGTCTCCAGGCTGAAGTCAAAGCAATGACCATCTTCTCACAAACAGGCTGTGGCTGCTTATATTCCATGGTAATGAACACTGTACAAAACTCACAGATGGACACAACTTCAGGAAGCAAAAATAATGAAACTGTGTGACAAACACTGCTCTGCTGTGCAGAGCAGCCCACTATTCCTCTCCAGAGGCTCTTCTTCACAAATTTTTACATAATGGTCTAGGAAATGCCCTATATGCTGATTCTTTTTAGTTCAATGATGCTGTCACTGA